TGTATCGCAACATGGTTAATATAGCTAATGATTCGAGAAGTGTAAGCTTAAAACAGCATCTAATGTAAATTAAAATTTTAATGATTACACTGGTTATATACTATGTGGGTTGTTTTTTATTTTATTTTTAAATGCAGGTATATTTAAAGAATCAGTTTCCAGAGAGACGCTTGGAGGCCGCGTCATTGGTCAACTCAAAACATTTCTTCTTCCAGTAAATGTTTGATCCTCCCTCTGTTGTCCTGCGAGTTTCAATAGAGGATCAAAGTGCAGAGAGACGCCTTAACTTTATACGTTTCCGTCTCATCCTTCCTGCAAACGCATGTCCTAAGGCTTCAGGGCTAATTTACAAACGATTTGCTGAGATTTTAATAAGCTGGTTTGTGTTTTCTGACCTCTGATTGGTTAATAACTGCAACACAGCTGCACATCAATTCAAGCTGGATTCATAAAAACACCCGGTGGTGTTTGAAAATCGAACTTTCACTGCAAACACAAAGTAATTTTGGTGTAGTTCAAGTGGAAATATCTTCATTTTAACTTTTATAATAAAGGAAAAGGTACTAGTTCCACCGGCAGATTGTCAACTACAACTTTGTCATCAATATTAAGGTTGAAAAGGAAAAGTTTTTTTTTTCCAGCAAATCTTCGACCATTTTTTCTTGAAAATTTCTGAGACTAATCAAAGTTTCTGAGTCTTTTCTAGAAAATTGTCAACTTTTCAAATTCAGTGATCTAGTTTTTTTCTGGAAAATGTCTAAGATTAATCTCAAAATTTAATTTTTTTTAGTAAATTTTCAACTTTTTAAACTCATTTTTTCTAGAAAATGTCAAATTAGCCTAATAATTTATTTTTTAGTAAAATTTTAACTTGCCATACTCAGAAATTTCCAATCATACACTGGGGGTTTTTTTATAGAAACTTTCTAAGATTAATCACATAATTTCCTTTTTCTTTAGCACATTTTTTTCTAGACATTTTCTGAGATTTTCAGGTGGAAATTTACTCCTTTTTTAATCTACAAAAGCTACAATATGCTGTCTATAGATCAATTTAGCACAACTGGATAAAAAGTAAAATTAAATATTTGCTTGATATTACTGTGATCCACAAACTGTGATAATTTTACTTTAAATTCCTTTCAAATTACTGCGACCTGCCTTTTGAATTTATAATCTAATCTATAGCAACTGTTTTTGCTTTAAGTTTATTAAACACATATAGTACATGTGTGTGTTTTTATGAACTCAAAGATTTGTTAATTTCCTAAATAAATAAATCTTCATGTCATGTTTCACATTTCCTCAATCATAAGTCATCTTATCTTATCAGTAGTCCTTGACCCGCGCGGTTCCACAATCTTGGAGATTTTAAGAGGAGTTTGATGACGTAAATTACCGAAGAATACAATCATGTAGTTTTCTATAGTCCAGTAAAGTACCAGTTTAGAAAGACACACCTTGCAAAATTACATCCTGCTGAAAATTAGAAGAAAAACTGTAAAGTTAAACACTTATTCACTGCGTCTCTTTGTTTTTAATCTGTATTGTTATGGTTTTATTTACTAGTAACAGTCAGTACAATTTTTAGTAAAATTTATGATGATAATTAGTCAACATTCAGTTAAATTTACTTGAATAACTTTTTGAATAACTATTATAAAGTATCGCTACTCTTACTTGAGTAAAATCTCTGGATTCTCTACCCACTGTGAGAAACTTCATTGAACAAAGAATAAATTTGTTTTATTAAAAATAAATACAATAAATAAATAAATCATCAGACACACATGCAGTTTTGTCTGTATGTGTGTCTGATAATTTATAAGTTTTGAAAACTAATTTTCCCAAGTTTGATTTTGAAAGATATTTATTTAGAAAAAAAAAGTCCTTGCTATTTATATGAATAATTTTCATTTTGGTCTAAGAAATACTTAAAATGCCAACATAAACTTTAAATTTTTGTCCATCTGATGATGAAATTTGAAATGCAACTTGTTTTTACTTGAGTAATTTTTTGGACAGCTACTTTTTACTTTTACTTGTGGAAAATATATGTTGAATTAATTTTGAGATTAATTTCAGAAATGTTCCAGAAAAAACCCTGAAAATTTCTGAGTTTGAAAGGTCAAAAATTTACTCGACAAAAACTGAATTTTTTTACTTTTTGACCTTAATACTGATGAAAAGTGAAACAATCTGCAAGACATTTTTCCCCATATTATGGAAGTTAAAACGTCTTGTTCCACTTAACTGAGTACAATTTAACATTTCACTCATTTCTAAAACAATAGTTAGGATTATTTGTTGGTTCAATTCTAATTCTGAATATATTTAATTTTAAAAAAAGTTGCACCAACAGGACAAAGATTAACTTTAGCTAAATGATAAATTTCCACTTTCTCATATTAATTTAAAGCTGCCTCGTCTGACACAAGCTAAAATATTCGCCGAATAATTTCAATAAATTGATATTACAAGCATTTATAGTTGGACGAATAATTAAAAAACAATGGAGAATATGTTGACTGAGCGTAAAAATAGGTAAGCTAGCTCTGAAAGTGGGACCTTCTATTAATGTGACTCCATATGCGCCGAACAAATTTAGTGATACACTGGCTGAGTGACTTTTAATTACATAGTTTTTTCTTTAAAATGGACAAAAAGGATGGATTTGACTTTAACTTTTCACTGCAGTCTGTTTGAGTACAACCGGAAAGAAAACCACCTCTATCAAACATGTTTTTGAGGTTACTCTGCAAAATTAAGCAAATAATTAAGTGGTTATCTTGGTCAAGTTAAAGGGAATTCTTTAATTACATTGCATTTTGGAGTAGAGAAGATAGCAACAAATTAAATGTGAACACACTAAATATGAAGGTGGGAATGCATTCCTGTTAAAACTGCCGCTGCTCAGTTTCATTTCCCCATCTCACCTTCTGTCTCGGGCTTTTCTATAATCATTCTGTTCTTCTCTCTGGTTAAAAACAACAAGCAGGTACCAAATCTAATAGAGTGTCAGTATTTCATAGTGATGGGATGTAACTGTACTTAACTACAGTTTTTATGTATCTGTACTTTACTTAAGTAGATTTAAAGGTGGGTACTTTCGACTTCTACATCATCATTTGTACTTTCTGCTTCACTACATTTCTATTGACTCTTTGTAACTACGTCACTTAATCACTCGAGGCGCCATGATGGATGTCGGAAGTGAGGGATGGGAGTATTTAACAGAGCAAATTATTTTCCCAAATTGTTTTTGCCATTTTATTCGTGGCTTTTACTTGCTGGAGTCGAGCTAATTTGTCTGTGAACCTAACTCACCTGGTTGGAGCTCACAGACGGCGGTATTTACAAAAGTTTGAAACAGCTAGCTTAGAAACCGACCCGTACCTCCTCCTTCCTGACGTGTTTATGAAATTACCGACTCCACCTGACACCACATGATTTATATCAGTATGTCATAAACCCCTTAGACCGGAGCAGCATTAAAAACGTACAAAAGATGAAAATCTACCAGTTTTTTTCCTTACATGCTAGGCTACACTGTTTTCATGGTTACTGATGGTTAGAATCGTACTTCTCCATAATATGATATTTGATATGTTTCTAATAATACTTACTTATAAAGTATATGAAGATTAATCTTCTTACCTTGTGAAAAGTGTTTGCTGCAAATCCGCAGCGATGATAATGGTATTATCACACCATGGACTGACAGTCATTATGATTAACGGCTGCTACCCATCGCCGCCATCTTTCCTCATTAAACGTTATACAATAAAATCACAAGTTTGGTTTCTATCCTTGTCTGTTTGGGCAGCTGACCGCGCAGCACCCTGTGACCAGTTTTACTGCGAAATCAACTAAATAAAAGCAATATTATGCTATCAGATGTGTGTTTTTGACAGGCTTTACCGAAGCACACTGGTTATTTTGACGTCCGTCATGGCGGAGCGGGCTAAGTTGACAGAAGAGAGTGACGTCACGTGCAAAGCGATGCGTTACATCCACGTCGCATTGCGCTTTTTTTTTTATTAGTTTGTTAGTTTGAAAGTAGTCAATGGCGAGAGAAGAACAGGTCCACTGAACCACTGCAAAGCAGTAAAGTACCGTTAGACCCTCATTCAAGACGAACAAGGCGGACACTTTGTACTAAGTAGACCACTGCATATTTGCTTATTGTGACGGAACGCAAAACTTTTGCGAGGTAACGTTGCGATGAGGCTCACTGACAAACGAGCCTGAGATAATAAACATATTTTACGCAGATAGTAAACATTTTTAATTAGACCCACATTTCTGCATTAAGTTTTTTTTTATTGCTCTGTAATCTAATCAAATGTCCTGGTTTCATTCGCTGTAAGCTAATCATCATTACAATTTGTGGGGACATTAATATGTATGATGTGTTTAACTTGTGAGCTGACTTAAGTATATGAGCTTTTCATAAATATTCAAATTTATTGAAAATGACTAAGGAATGCTAGAGTGACGCAGGTCATCCGTGAAATCACAAATCTAAATTTAAACGGTGTCACAGAGAGTAACCACATTAAAAACATGCTTTATTATCTGCAGGGTTGTTCATTAAAATGGCGCATTACTGATGTATTAAAATTAAATACGATAGGTACACTTAATTATATTATATTAGCCTTTAGGTAATACATTTAGCAAGTATTACTTTTAATACTTTAAGTATTTTTAAAAGCCAGTACTTTCTTACTTTTACACAAGTAAAAATGTTAATGTGGTACTTTTACTAGAGTACATTTGTGTCTGTTTATTTGTACTTTTACTTAAGTACATTATTTGAGTACTTTCTCCACCACTGGTGTTTCAATACAAAAATAAAAACCTTATATCCAATTTAGTTTTCTGCTATGTAAATTAAAATATTACTACTTTCAGTATACATACTCTGAACATTATGCAGTGTGAACCTGCCCTGAAAAGACGTAGTCCGGGGAAACTAACGGCCGATGCCGACTCACCGTATTCGGAGTCTGGCCTGTCCTCTTCTTTTTTCCCCATGTTCCTCCGCCTGCCGTCCTCAGGTGCTCCTGCTCCGAACAAAACCGCTAAACCGGACAAAACAAGACGCTAAAACTGGACTAAAAGTGGCTCCGCTGCGTTCGAAGAGACCATGGTAACTAAGTAAGGAAATCTTTTCCTTCCTGGCAGTTCTAACTACGCGGTGACGACACAAACGCACCTGCTGTGGGACGCGCACCTGAAAGCTCCGCCACAGATAGTCAATGGGGAGAGAAGTATCACTCCTCCTCACATCGAAGCGAAGAGAGTGGAAACTTATTATATCGCTGTTTGTGTAATCCGGGGACTTCTTCTGTTTAATTTAATTAATTGACTGAATTTAGTGACAGTGTTTGTGCTGTTAAAATTAGAAAGTTGTATTTGGAGGCCAATTAAACATTGTTTCCATGGAAACTGAATACGAATCAGAGAAGAGACATTGTTGGCCATGACCTAATTTCTTAATGGAGTCTTACTGTTGCTTACAGAGGAAGATCATGGCAAGAAACCAATAAACAATACATGTAAAATTCAATAATATTTTTTTAATTAAAAAAGAAAACAAGAAATATGATTTCAATCTTAAAATTCTAAAAAGTTGAGTTTTGAGGTTGTGGACTACAAATTTTTTTTTTTGAAAGTTGTGGTCAGATTGCTCAATTTCGAGACCAAACACGGTTACCATGGAAACTGAACATGGGTCAGATAAAAAATATTGTTGACCATTCGCGGACTTCTTAATCGAGTCCTGAGGAGGATTATGGCAAGAAAACAATAAAATAAGAATTACGACTTTCATATTAGAATTCTGAAAAAAACAAGTTTAGTCTCCATGGTTACTCTGGTTGGGCTGCACAGTGGCGCAGTTGGTAGAGCTGTTGCCATGCAGCAAGAAGGTTCTGGGTTCGATTCCCGGCCCCGGTCTTTCTGCATGGAGTTTGCATGTTCTCCCTGTGCATGCGTGGGTTTTCTCCGGGTACTCCGGTTTCCTCCCACAGTCCAAAAAACATGACTGTTAGGTTAATTGGTCTGTCTAAATTGCCCCTAGGTGTGTGTGTGTGTGTGTGTGCGCATGGTTGTGTGTCTGTGTTGCCCTGCGACAGACTAGCGACCTGTCCAGGATGTACCCCGCCTCTCGCCCGGAACGTTAGCTGGAGATAGGCACCAGCACCCCTCCCGACCCCACTGAGGGACAAGGGTGTTCAGAAAATGGATGGATGGATGGGTTACTCTGGTTACCATGGAGACTCTGGTTACCATGGAGACTGAACATAAGCCACAGAAGAGATATTGTTGATCATGAACTAATTTCTTAATCTGAATTGTTTACAGAGGAATACTGGGGAGGTGGAGGGGGGGCCTAGAAAAAAGAATTGTGATTTTAATCTTATAAGTCTAAAAACATAAATTGAATTTTGTAATTCAAATCAAAATTCTGAGGAACAATTTTTTGAATTTTGATAAAAATTCTCAAATTAAAGTCAGAATTTTGGCACTAATCCTATTCCATAGCAGTGTGTCAACAGTAATAAACTTTTTCATGAAATCTAAATCCATAAACATAAAAACCTGTTTGAACTGTTACCTTATTAAAAGAAAAACAATTTCAAAATTCTTGGGCTCATCATTTGTTTTCTATTTTAATGGCCAAATTTTTACCCTTCTTAATTTGTGATCGGGGGTCCGATCAAAGTCATTTCTAGGGTCACAATTGGCCCCCGGGCCACACTTTGGACATCCCTGATGTATCTGATCCGACTTTGTTTAAAAAGTGTATGAAAAACCGCAATAATGATAATGACTCAGAGTGAGAGATCTTTCCAATTAACACATCTCTAACCTTATCCAGCCTGTCAAAAGATAATTCTAACGCCCCCTGCTGACAGTATAAATATATACAATAACAAAATCCCAAAAATAAACTCTTTTGCCGTTTTATTTCACTACAAGTGACAGAAGAAACAACATGTATAAAAAATAATACAGACAATTAAACTACCACAAGCATCCATCCACAAACGGACACAATAAGTTCCTTTATGAGTCCCGAAAGGCCTTCAGTTGATGTTCATGTTTTTGCCACAAAGCCTTGAGTTGGTTGGCACAACAGGAAGAGTGCGGATATAAAAGACTTTCACATATAAATGAGCGGGTGATGAAGGCCTCCAGCACAAACGTTTGTTTCTGGTATATTTTCTGCAACACCAACATGACTACACACACAACTATCATGAGATCTGTAGATTTTGTAAAACCGTTTAAAGCCTGGTCCTTTAAAATGTAAAGGTTATGATTTCTGCAATAGTGAACGTAATAAAGTGACAGCTTTAGGAAAATGTAAAACATGACAGCACCACAAAACCGTCAAAGCCCCACTTCTACAGTCGACTGTGTGCACGTGTAAACGTAGCAGGGTTTGATCCGAAGGCCCGGTGGCTTAAGTGTTTTAAGAGTTTCCCATGAAGGTCATCCCGCAGTCGGCTCCCGATTCCGAGCAGGCGTCCATCCGGGCCAGCCTGCTCTGCTCCAGAGCGATGGCCTCTGCAGAGTGCTTACACTTCTCCGACCCACACTGACACGTGAAGTACTTGCTCTTAATGTCCCAGAAGCGGTCGCCGTAGTCAAACCTGAAGACAAACGTCACTTATTTACGACGGCGTGTTATGGACATCGTAGAGATATATATATAAAACAGGATTACATTCCTACCAAAAAACAAGAAACAAAAGGAATAGAAAAGGAAAGTTTGAGTTTTTCAGGAGAAAAACGTGAAAATTTCTGAGTTTGAAGAGTCAAAAATGTGCTAGAAAAAAATCAGATTTTTAGATTAATCTCAGAAAAATTTGAGAAAAACCCCCTGAAAAAAAGAGTTTGAAACATTTAAAAGTTGTTAGAAAAACAGAAATTTTGAGATTAATTTCTAAANTTTTCTAGAAAAAACTTGTACATTTCTGAGTTTCAAAATTGGAAATGATAAAAGAATAAAAAAATAACATTTTTAGAATAATCAGAAAAGTTTGAAGAAAAGTATGGAAATTCTTGAGTTTGAAAAGTCAAAAATTTGCTAAATAAACCTGAAATTTTGTGATTAGAAATATTCTAGGAAAAACATGGAAATTTGTGAGTTTGAAAAGTTGAAAATTAGCCAGAAAAAAAAATTGACGGTAATCTCAAAAATGTTCATGTTTTGTCCTGAAACATCTTATAAGTGTAAAATTTGCTAGAAAAGACTCAAATTTTGAGCTACATCTCAAAAGATTTTGAGAAAAAACATGGACATTTCCTTTGAAACTCATAAAATTTCCATGTTTTTTTTCTGGCAATTTTTAAAATTTTCAATTTCAGAAATGTTAATTTTTTGTTTAGAATATTTCTGAGAATAATCTAAAAATTTCTGATAAGTTTTTGACATTTCAACCTCTTGTTTTGTCCAGAATATTTCTGAGATTTTTTGGCAAAAGGTTAATTTTTTCTTCGACCTAAACGAAGAATGTCGTTCTTATTACTCGTCAGAGACGTGAAAAGGCCGTAAATTGTCGTCTCACCCCAGTTCCTGTCCACTCAGGATGTCTCTGGAGCTGAAGAAGGCGATGCGAGGGAAGCGCAGGTCCTGATGCAGCATGAACACGCGCACCGGGATGAGGTTTGGGTCACACAGGTGGTTGATGAAGCGACTGATGTTGCCGTAGTAACGTGCGTCTATGCAGTAAACCTCCCCGTCCTTCAGAGGAAAAAACAGAAATTGGGATTGCAAAAGCAAATCTCTTGAGATTATAGAACTTGATTTAATCAATTAATTTAATTTTTGTTTTTTAAAGATGAAATTTTTGGATTTTTTTTTTTTTTTTTTATGAATGCACTTCTTGAGTTTCCATTTGTTTCTATTTATTCAGGTCAACTCTACAACAAAATACAAGGGTCAGGCTTGTTTTATTTTCATAAAAAAATATTTATCTCCGTCTGGTTTACCTTGTTGTCGAGGTCAAACAAGTAGGAGTCGTCTTCTCGAACATCAGCCTCGGCGTCAGAGATCAGCTCTCCCACATATCTGAGTTTGAAGAGGAAAAACGTTTTGTTACGTTCTGCAAAGCAGGAAGGCAGACGAGTAGTGAACGCTTCTCGTACTCGCAGATGAAGCTGCCCTGAGGAATGTCCTGCATCGCTCGGACTCCCCAGCCCATCTTCTCCGTCCTGTACAGCTGCAGGCGGACTCTGAGAGACAAAAGGTCAGAGGTCAGCAGAGAGGTCGTCTGTCTCCTTTTGACTCTTCTGTACGTTTTCCAAGTCTAAATTTCTTTTCTGATTTAGATGTTAATGTTTGTCTGTAAAGAGTTTAAAAAAATCTGTGAAAACAAAACACGAAGCGATGGATGGATGGATGGATGGATGGATGGATGGATGGATGGATGGATGGATGGATGGATGGATGGATGGATGGACAGTTAAAGATTGAAGGACAGACGGATGGAGTTACGGATGGACGGATGAATCAATCAATGAAAAAAAGTCAGTCGAAAAAAGAAAAAAAGGAACAGAAAAAGAAAGAAAGAAAGAAGTAAAAAATAAAAAAGCTCAAAAACAAAGAATCAGAAAAATGAAGCAAAAAAGAAGCAAAGAAAGAGAAAAACAAAGAAAGAAAAACTAATAATGAAAGAACAAAAGAAAGAATCAGATAAAGAAACAAGCAAGGAAAGACAGAAAGAGGGATATGGAAAGAAGAAACAAAGAAATAGACGAACAGAAAAAAGCAAAGAAAAAAGAAAAACAAACTGAAAAATAAAGCAAAAGAAATAAGCAAAGAAACAAAGAAGCAAATAAAGAGAAAAACAGACAAAAAGAAAAAATGAGATTCTAAGAAAAAAGAAACAAAGAAAATCAAAGAAAGAAAAATATAAAAAAAGATAATGTAAGAATGGAAGTGTAAAACAAAGAAAGAAAAGGAAAAATAATCAAAGAAAGAAGGAAGAAAAGATAAGAGAAAAGAAAAACTGAACATTTCCTACTTAATTGGGACATGAATGAACCTGAATCTGAGTTTTCAGTTTTCCAAACTTATCCAGATGTGTAAAATACTTCAAATGTTTTCTGGTTTTCCTTAAACTACTGAAAACAGTCACCATGCTGCTGCTTGTAGGATCTGTTTGTCAGAAACCCTGCAGATTAATAATCTGTAATCTGTGGTAGTTACTTTATTCCCGCTTGGACGACTCTGTTCTTGCACGTCCGATAACACGAACACGCCATGTTGCATTCGAAGATGAGAGGAGGTTCGATTTTGTTGAATTCCTGAAGCAGCCGTTGATCCTGCAGACAGAAATGAGAAAAAAACATAAAATAATTCAATCAGATAAAGTTTCACATTTAATCTGACGTAAAACTTTTAGTACTGCATTAAAAACAGAAAGTAAGATGAGAGAAGATACCAAAACTAGCTTGAAACAGTCCAAACAGCAGCAAAGTTTTACTGTTTAGTTTTATAAAATGTGAGTTTAAGTAATAAAGGATAACTCCTGAGATGCTGCAGCAGGTGTTTACCTTGTCATACCAGCAGCGGATGCTCAGCTGCCCACAGAGGCAGTTACTGGAAGAGCAGTCGTCAGTGCAGCTACAATGCTACAAACACCAAAAGTAGAAGGAAACTTTGTGTTTATTACAGCCAAACCAAAAAACATGAAAGTTTTTATACAAAATGAATGTAAAATAAAATGAAGTCACCTGTAAGTGTGTGATGTTTCGATCTATGTTCATTGCTGACGTCTCGCAGTTTTCAGAAACGTATTTATAATCCGACGGACATCCTTCGTCGTCCACGGCGTTCACGCAGGGGATCGGTATGTTTTCGTAGCCCTGCGCCACGTCACTGCGACCGACAACAAATCGTCGTTCAACGAGCGAAGAGCAGAAAACTCTGTGAAGCTGGGAGGAAACAAACCTGCAGATGATTCGCTCTGTCCGGATCAGCCGGTTGGCGATTCCTCTGCGCAGCTTCCTGTTGATCTGTAGCGAAACCCAGACGGGCGTGTCGGGCCGGGCGAGGCTGAGCGGCGTGTCGCCCTCCCTGTTCATGATATCGATGTCCGCACCTCTCGACAAAAACAACCTGCAGAAAGCAAGAAAAGCTCAAGTTTAAAGTGTGAGGCTCAATCGATTAATCGTGATTAATCGATTATTGAAGTAATCCACAACTAATTTAGAAATTGATTAATTGTTGATCGTTTTCACATCTAATAATCCCACAGATTGTTTCTTTTGGAGTCAATATTTACCCAGGTAGTTGGAGTAACATTCGTGATTAATTGATTATTGAAATAATTGGCAAACTAATTTAGTAATCGATTAATCGTTAGCTGGACTAAAGTGAGATTGTGTTGCTGAAAGAACAACACAATCAGAGCAGTAATTAAGTCAAAGCTGTAAAATGTATACATATACATTCTGCATTTAAGATTTAAAAAAACTCTTAGCTTTCAGAATTGTAAAATAAAATTAGAAATAACATTTCAGCCGACATTTACGTTTTTACATTAATAAACTGACAGACTGTTTATTTTTTAATCATATTTACCCTGATAGTCGGAGAAACATTAGATCTCGATTTGTGATTAATCGATTATTGAAATAAGATGCAAAAGGAGATATGGGGCATGTCCCTTTATCAAAACCGATTAACATACCAATTAGTAGGGCTGAAATGATTAATCGTGATTAATCAACTATTGAAATAACCGTCAAACTAATTTAGTAATCTAATAATCCTTAACTAGAGTAAATAGACTTAAAAAAAGTTACTTGGCTGAAGGAACAACACAATCAGAGCCAAAATTATAAAAACATATTTAAACCTTTACATTTATGATGAAAAAAAAACCCAAAACCAAGTGGAATCGTTTTAGCTTCACTTGGTTCAAATTCTGTAAAAACATAATAAATCTCCTATTTCACACTTTTTTATACCTGGATATTAATGTGTAAATCCAAAAAATAGTCAACAGATTATCACTATGATGTGATGACGATAAGTCAAACAGAAAGTTATTTTTAGCTGCAGATGTATCCCTTCCTGCAAATGATCACTAAAGGAAGCTATGGTGTTACATTTAGGCAATAAAATGTTTATTTTCTTATTTATAAAAGGAAATTTAATTTCTAAACAACAACAAAAATAACGTATTTCTAATCTCGTATGAAATTATCTTCAGTAATTAAATGAAAAGTCTGCAGAATGTGCCAGTTAATGGTGAGAATAATCGCTGGTTGCATTATGTGAACTCACGTCACACACTCCAGATATCCCTCTCTGGCGGCGATGTGCAGCGGCGTGTCTCCATGCACGTTAACCGAGGATAGGGAGCAGCCGGAGTTCAGTACCAGCTCTGCGATGTCGATGTTCCCGGCGTACGCCGCCCAGTGGAGACACACGTTCAGCTCCTGCAGCACAGCAAAGAACTTATCCACCGATATCCAGGAGCCAAACCTCCCAATGTTAGGAACTTAACCATGAACTATCAGCATCTATGACTGGATTTTTTTTTCTAAAGTGTTGGCGATTTTCTTAGGGCATAAAAAAAGTTGGAAAAAGTTTTTTGTAAAAAAAAAAAAGAAGAAAGAAAATTGTAGGATTTTTTTCTGTTGTAATTTTCTCCAAATAAAAAGCTGTTGTTTGGAGAAAACATCAGTAGTATTTAGTCTTTAGGGGTTACTTGATGTCACAACATTTCTTCTGCCTGCTACAGTTGTCTACAACAGAAGGAGGGACGGGGTTTTCCTGAGTTGGTCAACAGGCTTTTTCGTCTGTCCGCCATATTGGATTTAACTAAATCTTCTTGCAGTTGCAGCTGATGGCCAGTAGTTGGCAGTGTATTGTATGATGCACTAGTGTCCACTTCAGTGGTGTGTGTGTATTTATGTTATAAAAATCCACAAGAAAATGGCTTTTACTGCAGTGACCGCTATGCATGAAAGGGTTAAATGGAAATTATATATTTTTTGGGAAGCAAGTAATTCTGTTTTATACTAAAGTGCCAAAGAAATCATGAAGATTCAAGCAGAAAATCCATCTTATGTTGCCTTTAAACACCAGCTGAGGCTCTCTCACATTCAGTTTCTCATTTAAAAACATACTTTATTTTTTAAACACTCACCTTGTCTTTAATTGAGACGTCGGCTCCTCTGTTCAGCAACGATTTGATCACTTGAACGTGTTTGTGCTCTGCAGCCCAGATGATCGGTGTCCAACCACCGTTGTCCTGAAATTGGAGAACCAAACCTGTTTGTGTTTATATCAAATTTCTGAAATATTAGATATTAATCTGTTGGATTAATGGTACTTTAACGTTTATTAATGAAGAAATAAACATTAAAGGGCAGTATTATGTATTTTCTAGGCACTTCAGTTGTTATAAAAATGCTATATTTAACAAATATGACTTAAAGAAATCTGACTTTGTTATTTAAGGCCTTGAAATTGGGTCATTGTCTCTTTAAAAACTCTGCCTTCATCACAACATGACTCCTCTATTAACTCTTTTATAAAGTTTTTGCTAGCGTCTCTCTAAGAAGTAGCTCAGATAACGAGCTCAGCGCAGTTCCACCAAGTGTTTGCTAATTGATACTGGCTAGTCTGAAGGAGCTGAGTGAAGGAGGAGCAGCGCCTTGAAGGCGGGGCTACGTCCACCCAGGTGTTTGCTGAGTGGTTGCCATGGAGATTAAAGGATTTCTCAAACATGCATGAAAGAATCAGAGCAACACATTACAACGTGACATAAAGCTTAAAAAGTCGATTTTCAAAGCACTGCTCCTTTAAAAGTTGGACTTTCATACATTAATGTGAATAATAATTGCAAATGAGTGTGGAAGGTGCTTTAATAATCTTATATATTTTTAAAATATCCACTATAAATAAAAATATTTTGTGACTGAGGTTAATGATTGTAGTTCTGCTCCCACCTGAGCGTTTACGTCCACCTGGCCGGTCTCCAGAAGCATATTAACGATTTCCAGGTTCCCCAGCTTGGCTGCGTGGTGGAGGCCAGTGTATCCATCCTCCTCCTGGTAAAGAAACACAAACAAAGTGGCTGAAACCACAACAACAACAACAGCAAAAATCCAGTGTAAATGCGAAATGTGAGCACGGATACTCACAACATGATAAACGCAGGCGCCGTTCTGGATCAGGTAACGAGCCACATCAACGTGATTATTGATCACGGCTTCCAGCAGAGGAGTCCTCAGGTCTTTGTCTTTGGCATCAACCTGAGCTCCAGCCTGGCGCCATTAAACCACAACAGGAGGTTAGTTAGCTGGGTGCTAAAACCTGTGGATGACCAGCAGGCTGCCGCGTTTATTAACCTGTATCAGCATGTAGCAGACCTCCAGCAGGCCTCTCTGGGCTGCAGCGTGGAGAGCTGAACGTCGGTTCTGAGACTCAGGCTGGTACGTTGGATCGATTCCCTCCACTGGAAGACAGAGAAACACAAATTAACTTCATGCTCTTTTTGCCGTAAATTTTATAAATTATAGATTTTCTGCATATTTGTTGAAATAATAATCTTTTACAAAATCAATCTCGTCGACTTCCTCCTTTAGCTTTTATTGCCTTCAGAAGAAATACACCAGAAACAACCAATCAGAGACAGGAGGCGGGTCTTAGCGCTGTCAATCAACCTCATGTACTCGCTGCTAAAAGAAACTACTTACTGTTACAGAAAACCATTTCTCTGCTGTCATCAGTGGCTATGCTAACTAGCATTATCATTCATGACAGGATTTGCTAGCTGCATCCTAATAGAGAGCAAGGGGGAGGGAGGAGAAGGGATGAGCAGCACTACATGAGATTGTGATTGACAGCGCTAAGATTCTCCTTCTGACTCTGATCGGTTGTTTATAGTTTGCGAGAAGGCAGAGGACGTCAATTTTTTAAACAATTATATGTGTCAGCTCCCAATGCTAACTAGAAACAACCAATCAGAGCCAGGAGGAGGGTCTTAGTGCTGTCAATCAGCCCATGTTGGCGTTGCTCAACCCCTCCACCCATAAAGCCCATAAACAGCAGAGCATGTCATGAATGCTAAAGCTAGGTTTTCCAGTCGCGGTGAGTTGTTTTATTTACATTTAGCAGCGAGTACATGAGGTTGACTGACAGCACTAAGACCCTCCTCCTGTCCCTGATTGGTTGTTTTTGGTCGGGAGCGGTGCATTTCTTCAGACAGCAATAGCAGCTCAGGGAGGAGGTGGAGGCGATCGATCGTTTCACAGATTATCTGCCACAACTTGGTGACAAATCTCTAAAAACAAATATTTGTATAAAGTTACAAACTGCAGCTGTAAAGAGCCTCTCTGGTGGGTTAAAGGTCAGCAGACCAAATAAATAAACTTCTCCTGATGCCTGCCTGGCTTCTCCCTGCAGCAGATGTAATTACCTCTCCTTATCTGCACCATCGTCTCTGCTGCTGGTCTCTGGGCTAATGTCTCCTCCCTGACCTTTTGCTCTTTCTATTGTGGCAATAAAGATTTTAAATATGTAGAAAGCAACAGTGAGCACAACTTCTGTACAGAAATTAAAGAATGTAATGAAAGATTTGGTTTATTCCTGGCATTAACTAGCTAACAAGGGATGTAACAACATGAGCATTATTGCTAACATTATTGCTAACTAGATTAGCATGACATACTGGCATCATTTAGCATCATTACTTAACTTACAGCATTTGGAAAAAACTGTGTAATGTTTCTGACACACACCATGCAGAAATACTCAGCAAAATGTCTCCACTCGGTGTAAGAAGGAGTTAGCGTCGCTACGCTCATGGTGCGTTTAAAGACGGCTCGGAAAAACATGTTATGGCATGTTTAACAACGGTTCAAACCGTTTTAACGGCTGAAAACAGATGACCCTTTCAGATATTTGTGACATATGTTGATTTTTCTTTTACAGTGCTTATTATGGTATGCCACTCACTCAGCATCAGCAGCACTCGCTGGACCTCTCCTTGCTTTGCAGCAGGATACAGCTGCCGCGGGTGGAACCTCAGTTTCTTCCTCCTGGTTCAGAAAGAGCGGTTTTGATCAGAAATAGTAAAGAAAATGTGTTTTCTTTTTTTTTTTTTTTTTTTACTTTTTCTGGACGACAACAACGTTTACATGCCTCTAATGCAACATATGTGTATGTGAAATTATTATTATGTGTGCAAAAAACAACTTTCCCCCAATTAAACAGATTTTAGCAAAAATATTTTAATTCTGCACAATTTCACATTGACACTCCAAAAATTAACTCTCAATATGTTTCTAAAAGTACAGAACATTAGGTGCATACTAATAAATAATAAAATACTAAACAATTCAATTATGAGAATAAATGTTAAACTTTTCTGTCTTGTAAATAAGATTTATAATCTCAATGAGACAATGCGTATAAAGGTAAAAAAAAGTTATATTTTAATATATTATACTATATTATGTACCTATTATAATATTTACATATATATTACTCACATATTACATATATAAATATGTAATATACATATATAATATAATGTAAATATGACATAGGTAGAGCATATATGTACATATATAATATTTAATTATTATGAGAAGAAAGTCATAAAATTATTAGAATGATGTAATTATAAAATATAATCAATAAAGTTTATTCTATTTAATTATTTTCTATTATTACTGTATTCTAATAATTTTATGACTTAATTATCACAATAATATTTACATATAAATATATCATTAATTTCATTTTTTTAGTGTGGCCCTAATACTCCATTGTACTAAAATCTAAATCCATGCAGTCTAACCTTTCTGTTTCCTGTGTGAGAATTGCTTTCTGCAGCGCCGCCCTGCTGGGTCCAGGTGGTAGTGCACTGGGGCTGACTGACTTCCCATTAGGCATGCAGAGAGACGGTCCCACGCTGTCCACTCCCTCCTCCGCTGGAGGAACAGCAGGCAGAGTCGTGGCTGAGGGGACGGGCGGAGGAGGCTGCTGCTCCACTGTGGGAGCTGCCAGGCCGTGGCTTCGCATTCGAGCGCTAAGAAGACACAAAAACAGGGAATCTGCAGCTTTCACCAACTCAAATATAAGACTTTTCAAGACGCTTTCAAGACCATTGCGTAGGAAATTTAAGACCTGTATCACTACAGAAATGTACAAAAGAGAAATTCATATTTTATACGGTAGTGCTAAGCTTCCTCGCACATAAAGCAAGTAGCATCACAGCGTTGTCCAACCAACTGGGGCAGGGTTTCCCCCAGTGTATTATAAGTCTGGCGGGGCACCAGGCTTTACTTGCACCCCCACCAGGCTTAGCTTTGCTTATTTTATTTATTTTAGGGGTTTTTAAGACTTCATAGTTGGTGTTAAGGTATTGTTGATAATGTCTTCCAATAGCATATAATTACCTGGTGATATTTTAAAATTTCCTCTCAACTTTAAACATTTTTTAAGTCAAAAACACAGAAAGTTGCTGGACGACTGCACTAGGTTCCCTACCATCAGGTTTGGCAGGTTTTCTGTGGCGATAAAGTTACACTTACCAATGATCAATCAATCTATCAAGTTTATTTGTACAGCATATTTCCACAACAAAGCAGTTCAAAGTGCCATAAATCATAAAAACGCAATAAAAACATAAAAGAGTCACCAATTTTAAAACCAGTAATAAACATTGCATTTTGTTGAGTACCGTCATTAAAATCATCAATACAAACCAAATATGTTGGTCAACATAATGGCTCAAAAGCAGCCGTGATGTAAAGGCACTCAGTGTTTCAGCTGTTTTGCAGTTTTCTGGAAGTTGGTTCCAGATTTGTGGTGAAACTGAATGTGCGACAGACGCCAAAAAAAAGTGAGGGTTCATTAGCAGCTAACTAGCTGTAGCCTCAAGTCACAGAACATAATGACGATGTCTGTGCATGACTGAAACATCTGCCTGAAAAATGAAGGTAGAATTATGCCGGATTAAATAATCCCACCACGACAAAATTTAAGAGAATTGACGGGATTTCCCCCAAAAGAATTTCAGACATTTTAAGGCCTTAATTTTAGATACATGAATTCAAGATTTTTTAAGGATGCACAGACAATCTGGATAAAGTTTTAGATTTCACCTTTAAGGCTGCGGTGTGTGTGTGGTTTTTTTTTTTTACATATTTGTTAAAACTATGACTATGTCCTGACAGTGCAATATGAGACAGATAATCTGTGAAGAAAAAAATCAAGCTCCCTGAGCTGCTACTGCCGTCTGAAGAAATGTTCCGCTCCCAGTCAAAAACAACCAATCAGAGCCAGGAGGCGGGTCTTTGCGCTGCCAATCAACTCGTGTAAAAGCTACTCAATGGGATAAAGGTGGAGAAACAACTTACCGTTACAGAAAAACTGTTTACGCATTGTCATCTGTGGCTGTGCTACCTAGCCTTAGCATTTGTGTCAGGCTATTTTGTGGTGAACCGGCTTTCACAGATTGTCTTTCTTATATCACAACATAATTATAATTTTAACAAATGGCTAAAATCATGTTTGTAGAATATTTCAGTAAAATATTGTACCTGACAGGCCTTTCAGGCATCTTCCCGTCCTTCATCCCTCCTGTTGAGGCAGTGAGAGAGGGTGCCGTCGGGGCTGACGGGGGCAGGGAGGGCGTGGTTGTGGAGGAGGCCGACATGGTGACCACCGTGGTTGCAGAGGTTGATGCCAAGGAGGGGATGATGATCTCCTGGGCCTCTGAGGCGTCTTCCCCACAGTGCGGACAGAAAAGCATCCCGCCGCCGTTGGCCTTGCTGCGGCCGCCGCTCAGTACGGTCACACAGCCGCGGTGGAAGCGATGAGCGATCCGCTGGTCCGGGCAGCATTCCAGAAAAGTGCCCTGAGAGAGGAGGGGAGATTTGAAACAAATCAGATTGAAACACAAAAAGATGTGATAAGAAACAAGGAGGAGGAAGGAATCCTAATTTTACCCTCCACCCACAGGTTCACACTTACTGCTATGCAGAAGTACCCACAGCCAGGACAGCAGTGGTGTTTCACCATGTGGGAGCGATGGACGTCACACAGAACCATAAGGGGAATCCGGCTGGACGGCCGCATCGTCTCTGCTTTCATGGTCCAGTTGGTGCAAGCCTGGAGCTGAAACCCAGCGACAGAGGAGCCGGCAGACTGAATTTAAGACTTTTGATTATATTTAACTACCTGAGCTACTTTTACAAAGTGGCAGAACTAAACATTTCAAATTTATTATTATGAAGGATGAACTATTTTGCTTCCTTGAACAAGTTAGATCTATGAGCGATACAAGACATGTTCATTACATTTTTACATACAATCATTCTTAGATAATGAGATTTTAATCTGCTCAGTATCTTAAGATCCTTTCATAATGACCTGTTTTAGGCCATCTCGTCACTTTAAGTCCAAATTAGCTACTGCTGGCCACGCCTCTCAAATCAACGTTTACACTCACACATGAAAGTGGCGGCAAAAAGACGCACAGTTATGCAACCATATATCTTTGAAAAGCATTAGTAGAGCGTCCTGTACAACCAACAGGACTACAGCAAGTGGATTCTGGATGGTAAGCCAGCAACAAAACACTTGTCTTTTCCAGCAGCCATTGTACAGCAGTAAAACCAGCTGATCAAATGTGCTGGAGGTCAGCTAGGTGACAGGCTGGGTTTCGCTGGGGTTGCTAGGAAACGGCGCCAATTATGACGCAACATTTTTGTTTCATAGACACCAGAAAACATAAACGTGTTGCAAATTAGAAGAAGTAGAAACTCAAAAGGAAATACAAAAACAGATTTTTTTCCCATGTTTTCTAAAAAACAGAAAATTCTTGGTTGTCCTTCCTTTTTTGGGCTGCTGAATTTCTTCAGATTTGCATCTAATGCTTCAGTTCCTTCTGATCATTTGCCTTTATTTGGTCCCTTATTGGTATATCTTTGGACAATGGCTCCTAGTTTGCCTCTTTTCAGTCTAGTCCGTTTCTCAAAGCGCTACTAGAGTAAATAATAAACTGGATGAGGATGCGTGTTCCTGTCAGGTATCAGCTGGACGAACCTCTCCGTTGAGGCTTTCTGTTGCCATGCACTGTCTGCTGACCCGCTGGCTGGTGCTGTCGACTCGAGGAGCCTCCATCCTGCAGCTGCACAGAGGAAGCTCCTCCAGCCGCTCCATGTCCCCTGCTTCGCTTCCATCTGCAGAGACATTTCACATTTAACCGCAAACAACAAAAAATAAAGACTAGAAATATATTCTACACTATTTATAGCCAGAAAAAACATTTAATCTAGTCATTTTGTATTTATTTTGTACAATTAATAACTTTTTACCAAATATTTGAACAGAAAAATTAAAGGATGCTGATCTGATTGTGAAGATTAAGTAATATTTTTACTAATCTGTACCAGACAGACTGAATAATTTCACATCTAAAAGTCTAAAAGTGGATCCCATCTGTTATTTTCTTTGTAAACACTGACTGAAGACGAGCATATTTGAATAAATCTATCAGCTGATCAGATAAGGAAATGTTTTTCCAGCTAATTTGACTGTTTGCATAAGAGCCTTTTATGTGGTCCACAATTTAAAGAGACAGTAACATTTAATAACCGACCAGCAGGAGGGGAAAGAGTCAGACTGTCAGCAGCAGCGATGTCCAAATCACCCAAAGGAACCTCTGTGTATTCTGCAGACCTTTCTGCTGAAAAACAAAATATAGATACAAAAATCATCTGTGCTTTACAGAATGGATGGAGAGGAGATAAGAAATATGATTTATAACTATCGTTTATTAAGGGGAAAGGCTGCACTATGAGTTTAAAGAAATATAATTCAAAACAAAAATACAAATTAAAAGCTGTGGTAACTCATATCATTCAAGTTTCTTCAAAGAGTCGAAGTGGCTGGTAATTCTTTGGATCTCCAGTAGCAGTCAGTCTCACAGCACATCTGAAAAAGTCTCTGACTGAAGGCTGTTGCTACGTGACAAACTCATGACACGCTAACCTGGATGACATCATCAGCTGTTGACAAGGACTGCTAATCAACCTCATTTGCTTTTGCCGCGCCTCTTTAAATCACTGGTTAGAAAACTAGAATATAGTCCAGGTATTATTTTAGCTTTTGAGACGGTAATCGGCTGCTCCCGGTTGTGAAAACGACACCTTGTTGCCACGGTTACGCGTCATAACAACTGTCCAAAAGTGAAACTTAACAGTACGTTCACACCAAACGTGTTACGCGCGTCTGGTTTACGTTCAAAGTCCATGTGGAGGCGCGTCCGACGCTCCAAACGCGCCGCAATGGGGCCTCAGCGCGTCTCCACGTTGACTTTGAATGTAAACCAGATGCGCGGAACGCGTTTGGTTTGAACGCACCACAAGAAAAACAAAAATCCTTCTGGTTGCACAGAAGCCAAAACCAGAGGGAATAATTTTCCAAACATGAAACAAAAAGTAATGAAAAGTGTAGAAAAAGAGCAGAATCAGAACCAACATGCTGCCACCAGGAGCAACGCTATTCTAGAAACAATACGGTAAAAAGTCAAAAACAAATAAATTCCGTGAGACGGTGAATAATTGTTCACAGATTTTTGGAAAACTGAGCTCTTTAAGCTCACCCTCTTCCGTTTCCCCCAAATCAATGGTGATAGTGTCTTTGTCCTGATCCGACTGCGGCCGTGAAGACTTTCTCTCTGACTCCAAACTCTGCAGATCAGAGAAGGAAAATAAAATATTTGACATGTTTGGATGGGATGTTCAAGCTGCTTTTAAATTTGTAGATATGAGAAAAGAAAGCATCAAATCAACCCAAAGCTGTGCTGGTGTCAGGGATTCTCTCAGTATTATAAGCCTGGCGGGCCACCAGGCTTTACTTGTGTCCCCACCAGGCTGAACATTGCTTATTTATTTTACTTTTTTTTAAAATGCTCATAAAATAAAGAATAATGTTCATTTTTCTGAAACGCATACCTATAAACAGTAAAATCAGAGAAACTGATCATGTAAAGTGGCCTGTTAATTTTTTCCAGAGCTGTATTTACGGATCTGAAATAATCACCTGATCTTCTGTATTGGTAATTGGTTGCTTCTCTTCACCTCCATTTTCCAACTGAAAACCACAAACAACCAAATTATGGTTTCCACACATAAATAAATAAAATCACCATTAATGTCATTAAGCCTGGCACCTTTTCTGAATCTAGAGCAGATAAATGGTCCCCATCGTCAACAGACTTCCCCAAAGAGTTTTTGCTCTTCGCTAAAGCTTGATCTGTAACAGACTCCGCCTTCTTATGAAACAGCTGCTCGCCCTAACAGAAACACAAAGGAGGCTAAATGAACGGCACAGGAGAAATCGAGCCAAAAGTTTAAAAGCCAGAAAAACAGAAATGATCGACTCACCTCAGCTTGAGTCTTGCTTGAGATTTTTTCACATTTCCCCGGTGCGCTCTCGGATAGCTTCCTCTTTTTAGCAGCTTTTAGAAACAAAACAAAACAACACAAGCAGCAGCTTTAGTTTCACAGAAAAAAATGGCTTCAGGGTCAAAGGTCAATGTAACAAATTGGGTTTTAATTAAAAAAAACTTTTAGTCATCTGAGAATTTACAGAGGATTTAAAGTTTGGATGGATGGATGGATGGATGGATGGATGGATGGATGGATGGATGGATGGATGGATGGATGGATGGATGTGGATGGATGGATGGATGGTTGGTTGGATGGTTGGTTGGATGGATGGATGGTTGGATGGATGGATGGTTGGTTGGATGGATAAATGGATGGATGGATGGATGGATGGATGGATGGATGGAGAAATGGATGGATGGATGGATGGATGGATGGATGGATGGATGGATGGATGGATGGATGGTTGGTTGGTTGGTTGGTTGGTTGGTTGGTTGGTTGGAAGGATGGATGGACTGTAAACTTTGATTTTAGCCATAAAAATGCATCAGTCCAAATCTGTTTAATAAACTAGAATTATTAAAATATGAAAATTGAGTGAAACCAGATTAGTGAAACCAGATTAGTGCAGAAACGTGTGTAAATCTCCTCTTTTCAGCCTCTGAGGGCTTTAAAGCCACTAACCAGTTTCGGAGTCGGATCCTGATGGCGTCGTGGTCGCAGCCAGAGCATCAACGTGACTCACCTGTTGAGAAACATTAAAATCACACAGAAACCCTGAAAATATTCATTCACTTCCATGTGATCCAACTCGTTCTCACCTGGCCCAGCGGGGGCCGGTTCATGGTCTTCCGGGCCCGGTGGATCTTGTGTGGGCCTGGAGAGGCGGAGGGAGTGGAGGGAGCAGAGGGAGACGGGGAAGAGGAGGCGGAAGGAGCTGGAGGAAGGTTGGCCTTACTGGTGGACGGCCCAGAGACGCTCATCTTGGCTCGGCCAGGAGACAGCGGGGACGACGTGTAGGCAGAGGGAGACATCGAGGAAATGGACTTTGCAGCATGACCTATTAAAAAATAAATACATTAAAACAAAATCTGTAGAAGTCATGAGAGTTAAAAACAAATAAAGAAAAAAGAACCTAAGAACTCGTAAACAATAAAAGAATCTATGCAGATTTGATTCACTGAATCGTTTTTTCATATTAAAGGTGATCTATTATGCTTCCTTGAAGGATAGGAAAGGTTTATGGTCTATACAAAACATGTTCATTACATTTTTTTTGCACAAAATAATTATTAGATACTAAGATGTTAGTCTGCTCAGTTATGCTTACTTTTAAATCCAAATAATTAGCAGCTGGCAATGCCCCCCGATTCAACGTTTACAATCTCCTGTGAAAATGGCTGCCAACAAATGCACAATTATACAACTGCGCTTATTTGAAAAGCAGAAGTAGTGCCTCCTGCACAACCAACGAGAATGCAGCAAGTGGTTTCTAAATAGTAAGTCAACAACAAAACATTTGTTTTTTCCAGCAGCCATTGTACAGCGCATACAGAGGTAAAACCAGCTGACCAATCATGCTGGAGCTCCACTTGGGTTGCTAGGTAACGGGTTGGGCTTGACTAGGGTTGCTAGGTAACAGTGGAGAGCCTGTGGAATGTGACTTACCCATCTGAAGGCTTTTTTGAAACAGCTAATTTTCTTGACAACATATTAACTTATTGCTAAAAAATGTCTAGATGTTTTTTTTTTTCTTTTAGTGCATGGGTTGTTTCTAGAAACATTTGAGACCCAAATGGAAGAACAAAAACATGTAAAATGTGAATATTTCAAAATAGGTCTCCTTTTAATACTGTTTTGCCACTTGGTCAGTGGAAAATGCAACAATAAAAACAAAAGAAATTCTTCAAACATTACTTGGAAACTGTTTCTTTTTCCACCACTGTTTCACTCTTCACAGATACAGCAGCTTAGTCATACTCAAGTTGCCAGTTTTCTTTATGAGATTAAAAATAGCCTTGCTCCATAAACCCTTGGTTGACTTTCTCATGTTAAGTCGCATAGGGATAGTGTGATTATCTGCAAGCTTCACCTGCAGCAGGTTTGCTCAGCGGCGGCGAAGGAGGAGGCGACCACGTCTCTCCATCATCAGCAGCGTCCTTTTCCAGCTTCCTAGATGTCAGCGGTGAAAGCACTTTGGGTTCTAACATGGAAGCAGACATGGTGAGGGCTGCAACATCTGGTAACATTCAAAACTTTTCAGTTCATTTTTATTAAAAAATGAATTTAAAAAAAAGATTAAAGATGTTTTTAATGTCCAGGAGTTAACTTACCTTCTTTAACGTCACTGGGAGCGGCTACAGACTCTGTTGGTGTTTCTGGGTCGTCTTGGTCTGGGGCCTCCTGCCAGGGAACAAGAAGATGACAAATTAAAAGAACATTAAAGTTTACATTATTAGTTTATTACATTATTTAGAAGCGGTAATGAAGCTATTTACTCTAATGTGTCATTTCCTGAAAAACTGATAAATAATAAACAGATCAATAAGCTTCTGGCTTAATATCTGACCATTACAGTTTATTTTAAATTGGTTTGTTTTTGGTATAGACCTTGCTTTAAAGCAGTCATGAATTTGTGGTAAAAAGTGGTAAAGGTTGGGGCCGTCGAGAGCTATTCAGATAGTTTCAACCACAGCATGATGCTGCCAGAAATATCACAATGTTCTTAGATTTGTAAACCTCTCCATGATCCCTACAGCTTGTCAAATGCTTAATCTTAAATTGTCTCTCTACTGATGCCAGTCCTTTTCTCCAGAAAGCATCACACTGTGGAAATATGCAGACGAGAGAGCCCTGCAGAGGACAGTGAGGGGAGCTGAGGTCAATGAAGTGTGTACTGCAACTAGACTGCTGCTGCACAACATTCTGCCGCAAGCTATTAAAGCTCAAAACTTTATATTATCCAGCTGGTTTTGTATGTTTTATTTATTATTTATTTGATCATTCCTGTAAACTAATCTGAAATAATATTGTAATCTTAAATGTCAAGTTTTCATTAACTGTATGCATCAAATACTCATAATTAATGGAAATAAAGGGTTGAAAACGTGAATCGAGTTACTAGAATAAATTAACTTTTTAAAGATTTTGTAATTTATTCGAACATTTTATTACCAAAGTTTAATTAAATTTGTCTGCAAAGCAGAAATATAATGTAGTTATCTAGCTTGTTCCTAAGCTACTTACAAACTACTGCATACCAATAATTAAAATGATTTTGGGGCTAAATTAAAAATTTAAGATATAATAACTTCCGCTGAAAATAGCCGGAATAAGCAAATCGCTATACAGATTTGAATCACTTAAATGAAAAAAAACCCCTACTTTTTTGCACCACTGTGCTCAAAAACAACAAGCTGACTTCAAAATGAAAACAAACGAATTGAAAAGCGATTTCACACCGTAAGAAAGCGGCTTACATGGGATTTAAAACTTCAAACAAAATATAAAAAAGGATAAGTAAAATCAATAATACAACTATCAAAAAGGTAAAACATCACAAGAGAGGCTAACACTGCTAGCACTCTTTGCTTGTAAAAAATGGACATTATTAGAGACTAAATCAGAAATATGCTTAGTGAAGAAAGAAACGTCGTTAGCACTTATTTGCTTTGCACGTTGGTTCGTGTATAACATGATAAATAAATGTTATTATCGTTAACAAGCCTTTAAAGTTCATGCAGCTTTTCTACCTTTGTCGTTGTCTGAGGAGCCGACATGTTTCCCAGTGAACGTAAACGGTTATGAACGTGCTACGTCCATAGACTCAGCAGAACAGACGCCGCACGCGCTTCGTTCCACCGCAGAAACGGTACGTCACAGCGTCCGCCATATTGCTAGCGGCAAGCTCATCATAGAAAGCAGGACAACTGCTGGGAAACGTGAGTTTTGTGAATTAAATTAACTTTTACACAACTATTAAACTGTACTTGTGTCAGGTGTCTTATTAAAAAACTAATAATGATAGTTATTATTATTATTATTATTATTATTATTATTATTATTATTATTATTATTATGTTAGTGGTTGTAAGTAGTTCAGAATCTTAACACTGCTAAGGACAATTAAAAGTCATTCTTCAAATAACATAATAGTGAAGCTGTAGTTATTTTGACTATTTTGTTTTCTGTAAAGAATGTTAAAAAACATTTATTGTTGTTTTTCAGATGTTAATTGAGTTATTACACCAGAATTTTCTTATCAAGCAAAATAAATAAATAAATAAATAACATCTATAAAAATACCAAATGATGCCTCAATCTAAATTAAATTAAGAACAAAGAAGAAGCAAAGTTATTGGCATATGCAAGTCTGAAAGAAGTTATCAATTCATTAGGATGAAATATACAGTGATGGCTTTTCCGAAGCCACTCACAACACGGCGGCAACGTTTACGTACAGTTTGAACGCTCACGTAGCATCTAATTATTCTATGTCTATGTGTGCGTCAGCACGCCTGAAAGCTGGGGTCCCCGCCCCATTTTTCTCTCCCAGTCCATTGATTTTAAAATCGCTGATCAGAAATCAGCAGGCGTGCTCTTAATTTACGGCCTCGCCACGGAAGAGGCGTCGCTCGGAAACAGATTCAAAGTCAGTTTTACTGGCGAATCGCCGGTGGTTTGTTATTCCCGGTCACGAGACGGTACTTCCTGCGAGAACGAGGCCGAAAAGTAAACAGAAATCGAGGTGGAAGCATTTCTCCCCCCCCGTGTAGCTTTGAAATGTGCAAATTTAGCTGGTCAGCAAGTGTCTCCTAGCGTTTGTCCCGTTCAAGAAAACCAACAACGGCGGGCTGAGACAGAAGGGAAGACACCGAGGTGAGTTGTTGCAAAGTTTTAACCGTAACTGTGTGAGTTTTTGCCTTTTGTGTTTGGTTTCCAGGAGATAAGTTTGATATTAGCTAAAGGTGGCTAGCAGTCGAGTGGATAAGCTAGCTTTGCTAAAACAAAGGAGTTAAAATGTATATTATTTACGTTTTATTTGAACCAGTTGTGTCTATTAAAGTAACCAGCAAGAAATGGATTGATTTAAATAGGTTTCACAAATTAATAAGTATTTTACAGCTTTTTAAAATCCGCCCAACAATGGTGATAGCTAGCCGTGTTCTTTCAAAGCAACTAACTAGACTAGATGCCATTATGTTACATTATAACACAGCTTGATTTTTACTGTCAAGCTTCTATTGTTAGAAATGATTTTTTAATCTGATCTGAATAAAACGCGCTGAAGTTTCAGCAGAGAGAAATAAAACTGAATCCATTTTATAAGGTTTTATTCTCAATGGACTGAAATGGGATTGGAGAGTCAGATTTTTTTCTGATCGACCAATAATTTCAGCCATTTATGATTCTGCTCTGAAAAAGGTCAATAATTAACACCGATACTCTAGAACAAATTTCCAAATTATCATAAAATTGTAGTAGAGTAAAACAAAATGTCTATGTTTTCTCAAGAATGGTCCAAACTTAAAGAGCTGTGTTGGGTGTATTGCTGAAAATGTACAGTTTTGATTAGAGATCACTAACTTTTTGAGTTATCTGCACACCCAGAAATGTAGAATTGTTCATAATCATAAAAATAAAGCCTATATAAATTTACCCAAACCATTTCTTGTACAATGTTATTGCATATTTGGGTTCTCTCTGGGTACCTCTCATATTAAATGTCAGATTACATCCGTTAATCAAAGTGGAATAGCTCTTAACCAACCTAACATTGGGGTGCATTAATTTTTAGAGTTGAAGCCAAGTTTTTGTACAAAATAGTGTGATTATGATCAAGAAAATAGCTTTGAACCATCAGTTATTAGACAGAAATCATCCTCCTACAAGTATAAATTGGCGTATGGTTGGTGTTTTTCTGCAGCAGGCGGCTGTGTCTGTTTTTCTTCAAAATGGCCAAAAATACTAAGACGCAAACGAAGAAGAAGTGAAGTGATCAACACCGTTGTGAGAAAGGTCAGATTGAGACACAGCATCTCTTTCGAGGAACTGCTTATCAAGATGGCAGCATGAACCAAAACAGTTTCCTAAACATGAGGGAAAACAAACATTTGCAAAATGCAATGTGATACTTATAAATATACCTTCTAACATCCTGTGAAATCACCAATAAAAGTAAATGCAGTTTTAAGAACTGTTGTAAATATTGAAAGGAGGTTTTTTTTTTTTTTTTTTTTTTTACAATTTATTCAATGCCACAAGATCTATTGTGGATAAATGACTCAAAAGGAAACATCCCAAGCTTTGGGAAAACCTCAGTGAGAGCCATTTTCCACAAATGGAGAAAACCTGGAACAGCGGTGAACCTTTCCAGGAACGTCCGGCTTTCCAAAACTACTCCAAGAGCAAATCCATCACTCATCCAAGAGGTCACCAAAAAGAAAAAAAACAGAATAACGACTAAAGGTCTGCAGGCTTCACATGATACAACACAGATGGACTAAACAAAAACATCCATTGGAGATTTCTGAAAGCATCTTGTTGTAGAAATTATCTACAACAAGCTGAAATTATACAACTCTGGGAAAAACAAAGAGCCCACTGCACTGACCTCCATTAAAACCTCCTGGTTTTTCCACCAAATGTTGATTTCTGAACTCTTCCTGAGTTAAAGCATTAGTTTTGTTGCTTCTAAATGAATATTAACTTGTTTTCTTTACATTATTTGAGATCTGAAAGCACTGCATCTTTTTTGTTTCTCATTTTCTGCTAATAAATCCTAAATATTTGCTTGGGACTTCAGACACATGTTGTCAGTAGTTCATAGAATAAAAGAACAAAGTTCATTTTACTCAAACATGAACCTATAAAGAGTAAAATCAGAAAAACTGATCATTTTAAGTGGTATCTACGTTTTTTCCATAGCTATATATTCTGTGCAGTTTTGGCTTAATTACTGCTGTAAGTAAGCTATTCTTTGAGTCTGTATGCTCAAGTCAACGAATAATCAATTACTAAATTAATTGGCAATTATTTTACTAATCACGACTAATCCGATTAATCGTTTCAGACCTGCTTAAAAAGGTTCAATTATTCTGGAAGTGTAGTGGAGTTTCTCTGGAGCTCAAACTGTGAGAATGACTCTTCATAGATTCTTTATTTTTATTTAATTTCTCTTCTGACCTGCGTCGCTCACAGTCTGTTGGCCAGACAACATGGAGACTGTGTGTTTCCGGCTACCGGGACACGGGGACACGACCCTGAAGCACATGAACTCCCTCCGGTCCCGCCAACATTTCTGTGACATCACCATCGTGGCCAGCAACAACCAGACCTTCAAAGGTCATAAGGTCGTGCTGGCGGCCTGCTCGCCCTTCCTGAGGGATCAGTTTCTCCTCAACCCCTCACCCAGGCTTCAGGTGGGTGAGATTAAACGCACACCGCCTTCCCAGACGCTGCTGTGCACTGTGGAACATATTTTTCATGCTTTCTCCAGGTGTCGATGCTGTACAGCTCCTCGGTTGTGTGCGACCTTCTGCAGTCGTGCTACACCGGCATGCTGCAGTTCAGTCCTGAGGAGATCGTCAACTACCTGACTGCTGCTAGCTACTTCCAGATGGAGCACATCGTGGAGCGCTGCAGAGCCGCGCTGGAGAGATACGTGCAGCTAAAGAACCCCAATCTGCTGAAAGTCAGTCCAGCAGTTAATTTAAAACACGTTGATCTGCCGTCTGCCTTCTCTCTCACTATGAAGAAGTAAAACTGTGCATTTTTCTTCCTCCTCCTTTCTATTTTTAGATGGAGGAGGACGGTCAGGTCAGACCGGTTATTCTCAGTGCCAATGTTCATTCAGTGGCTTCACCTCTGACCACTCAGCCCTCCCCCATCGAGCAGCACAGCCCTGCAGTCATCACACTGGAGGAAGAAAACAGCGAAACATCTGCTCAGCACGCCGGCGACAGCCCCGTGCTGGATGAGCCCGACGCCAAGGTGATTTTCACACCTCGCATGCGAACGAGACGCACTAAACGCTCCTGCTATGTCTGCGTACGTGCAGCTCACAGTGTCTAGATGTTTAGTGTTTGCTCTTAAGAATCCACACTGACGCAAACAGATGAATTAATGCTGTGAAAATGCAATAATCTGTTTCAAACTTTAGTTATTTTTAGTGAATTTGATCAACCTAAAATGAAGCTCAGAACCGACTTTATGGGCTTCAGAAACTGCTGAAACTGAAACAAGTCTGGAAGAGCGCTAACAGACTAGAGCTAAAACGATTAGTCGTAATTAATCGATTGAAATAATTGTACACTACTTTAGTAATTGATTAATCGTTAACTGGAGTACAGAGACTTAAAAAAGGCAATTTGCTGAACGAATAACAGACTCAGAGCAGTAATTAAGTTAAAACTGCACAAAAAATCACTGAAGTTTATTAGTGTAGCGCATTTCAAAGAGCTTAACATAAAAATATAAAAATACATGGAACACATTAAATTAAAACATTAAATTTTTCCAAATGCCACCATTACACATCAAAATGTTCAATTTGAACCACTATGAATTCAAATAATTTATAATGAATTCAAATAATTATTGTAATAACTATTATTAATTATTAATAAATGATTAATTCAAATAATTTACAATATTTGAATTTATAGCATAGATTTTTAGTCTAAATCTAGACTATAAAAATATGCATTATTAATTTAAAGATGTATATAAAAACTTTCTTTGTGTGTAAATATGTTCTGCCAAAAACTTCCATAGTTTTATCTTAACCTGGTTTAAATAAAACTAAA